GTGGGGAAAAGAAAGAGAGAAACATTGATGTGAAAGAGACACATTGACTGGTTGCCTCCCCCACATGCCCCAACCTGGAACAGAGGAGTGAACCCACAACCCAGGTACATGCCCTTGATCAGGAATCGAACTACTCCACAAAAAAGATACTAGGACATAAATATGACACAAGACATCTCAGGCGGCACTTTGGGATACCTCTTTAAAAATATCTCTAAAGCAAATCAAGCACTTGGATGAGCCTGATATCCTCTGGGTTTTGGTCTTTACTTTGAAGGAACATGTAATACATTTCCTAATGTTCTTGGTAGGAGGTCAAAGAGTGTATGGAGTGTATGGAATTTTAATTTTTACTTCACTACTGGCTTTTGTCATACCTGAAGGATTAATTCCTAAACCCTTTTCTCAGGCCAGGATAAACTGCGATTAGGCACCACGCTTAAAAGAATTGTAAAAATCCTTTTTGCAAGAGCATTACATAAACAACAGAGGGACTAATATCTTTCTGACTTTCAGGCTTATTTAGAGATTCGGGTGACTCATACCATAACAAAACAGGCCCAAGGAACTGCCTCTTTGACTCCTGTTCCCATATTTCCTACAGGGTTGTGTCCCCTCTTCACTTTCCTTTCTTGGCTGAGGTCTCTGGCACATAGAGACGTTGACCACGTTTCTGCAGAGAGGTCATCTGCTGTAAAGGTCATATGGCTTCCACTGATGATATGAGCCACTTAAGAAGCCCACTGAAGCTCTGTCAGTGTGGTTCCGCTGGTTGAGTGTTGTCCATGCACCATGAGGTCATGGGTTCCATCCCTGATCGGGGCACATGCTGGGGTTGCAGGCTTGATCCCCAGTGGGGACTGCAGGCAGCAGCAAACTGATGTTTCTGTCTCTCTCTCCCTCTCCCTTCCTTTCTCTGAAATCAATGAAAACCTTTCTTTAAAAATTCATCTTTATTGTTGAAAGTATTACAGATGTCCAATAAAAACAAATATAATTTTTTTTTTAAAGAACCCCACTGAAGAGAGAGGGTCTTCCTCCCACTCCCAGTACTATAAATTCCAACTGTATGTCATGTCTTCCAAGAGCCCTCTTTCATTGCTCTGGCTCCTAGCGATCTTTCACTGTTCTTTTTTTTTTTTTTTTTTTTTTGTAATTAGGATTTATCTACTAATAATAACATCACTGGTTTTTCTTTTGTATTTGAGGTTTTTAAAAAAATCTGGCTTTCCTCAATGAGATTGTTATTATCTAGAGAGTAAGGACAGTGTCTTTTAAAATGCCGATTACAGATTCTGTACACCTAGAACAGTGTGGTGTAGTGGAAAGAGTCGGCAGCACGTTGGCTGAATGATTACTATGTGGGCCAAAAGATGTATTCAAAGTTAAAAGGTCTAGATTGGAGCCTGGTCTCTGCTCTGTGTAGGTGTGACATATCATTTAATTTCTCTGAGCTTCTGTTTCCTCGTGTCTAAAGTGGGGGTGATAATTTTTATCCTAAAGAGAACTAATATTTATTGAGCCCTTATGTACCAACTGCTGTCCTAAGTACTTTTAAGTGTATCAGCTCATTTAATTATCACACTAGCCTTAAGATGTCAATGCTATTATTAACTCCATTTTACAGATGGGTACACTGAGGTTCAGAAGTTCTCAGAGATATTAAATAACTTGCTGTAGGTCACACAATAAAGAGAGGAAGAGCAAGAGTTTTAAACCCAGAAAACTGAGCACCAGAAACCAGCATTTTTAACTTCTATGCTATAGTGTCTGTATGTTTTACAAGCTCATGGTGTGTGGGAAGCAAATGAATCAATGTATATGAAAACACTTTTGTAAATTGTAAGACATAATGCACTACTGCTCGTTGTTGTGGGCAATCAATAAATGCTTTAGTTGAATTGTGAGGTGGCACAAAAATTTTTATACTTTAGTTTTATTCTTCCTATGTATATACAGTAGTATACACTTTTTACAAGCTCGTTTTATCATTCCATTTTATAATCGGTTTAAAAAATATGTCAGACCATGATAAAGATAGAGCTCTAGCTTCATTTTTATTGGCCGCATAGTATTCCATTCCATTGGTGTGCTCTAATTTATTTGAAGTTTATCTGAAATTAGGGATTATGTTTGAGTAGATGAGTAAGTCTTCACATACTTCAACTGCTAGCCACAGAAACCAAAGACCCCAGCATAACGATGGCCAGGCTATGTATTGGGTTAATTGCTTTTAGTTTTAATTGCATTAAAGGAGGGGCTTTGTAATTATAAAGATAAATATAAGTTAAAAAATACATGAAGAGGGTTTACAGTGTATAATGCCTGCCATTTTCTCTTCAATGATCTGCCATTTGGCATGGCAGAAAAAAGCTCCTTCCTCTTTCTTAATAAGATGGTTGAACTTTTCTTTGGTGGTTCTCAATGGTAAACATTTAAATTCTACCTCTAAGCAAATTTTTGTGACCCTGCAGATGGAATACTTTAGCTAACTGCTTTGCAACCTGCAAACTTCTTACTTTTATGGGAGCCCCAAGCTGTAGTACTTTAGCATGTGCTCATGCATAGCTATACCTCACAGGAACCCATGCCAAGACAAAATTATGGTCTTCTAGTTTTACACTATTACAGTCAGCCCTTGGTATCTGTGGGGGATTGGTTCCAGGACCCCCATGGATGCCAAAATCAAAGGATGCTAAAATCCCTTATATAAAATAGCATAGTAATTGCCTATAACCTATGCATATCCTCCCATATGCTGTAAATCATCTCTAGAGTACTTATAATACCCAATACAATGTAAATGCTGTATAACTAGTTGTCATGCTGTATTGTTTAGGGAATAATCACAAAAAAAGTCTGCACGTATTTAGTACAGACTCAACCACCGTAGGCCTGACTACATAGCTCATATCAGCAACAACATGACATTTTTATTCCCTACTTTTTTCCAGTTGTGGTTGGCTGAATCTTCCTGTGAGGAACTGGGGGATCCTGAGGGCCAGCTGTACAACTGTACATATTTACTAGCCTTGTGACCCAGGGCTGCACTGTATAGTGGTGCATGGAGGGGGGTATGAGGTGACTGAATTCCATAAGCATTCTGCTCCCCCATCCACTGCCCTGGGCTGATTCCACCCTGCCTGTGGGTGTGGGTGTGGAT